AATGAGATTGTGGGTAGACAGAGAGAGAAAGCATGGGCCTGAGGTTCTGCATTTATTGGGGGTGAGGATGGGAATGTCTAGGGTTTTGTGGGTTCACTCTTTGTTGGTGAATTTAAAACATAAGAACAAGAATTAGAGCATGGGAAGGTAAAAATAAGTGGTCAAATGGTCAGTTATATAAATCAACCAGAGATCTCTAAAACAGGGGTGGCAGGGCCTGGCTTTTTATCTAGTCTTGTGGCTGGCAGTGTATTTATTGGCCATAGCTGTCTTTGAAGAAGATGGCTTGACAGTCAAAAACTTCACATCAGGCACCTGCATTATAACAAAAAAAGCCAACTGTCAGACACTTACACTACAACTGTTGGATATTTTAAGCCACTAAGTTCTCAGGTCGCTTTGTTACAGATCATGTGCAAAGTGATACACTATCCAGGTAACTCCTTTAAAAATCCTATCAATTCTATTATTTGTTTCCTACCTATAGCTTCCCAAACTATATAGCCTGCAGGAGAGAGTAACTCAGGACCTAGAAGAACTCACAGGTAATTCAATGTACTCTATAATAAACTTTCAATGACAATCATTTCCTGGAAGCTCTTCTTAAGAGAAGGCCACTGAGGGGCACCTGGGTGGCTCAGACAGTTATGTATGTGTCTGACTCTTAGTTTCTGCTCAGGTCATGAGCTCAGGGTCATGAGCTCGAGCCCCACATTGGGCTCCACAATCAGTGGGGAGTCTGCTTGAGATTCTCTCTCCCTTTCCCTCTGCCCCTCCCCCTGCTCACTTGTGCTTACTCTCTCTCTCTCAAATAAATAAATAAAATCTTAGAAATTTCAGTGATTATCCATCAAACTTAAAAAAAAAAAGAGAAGACCACTGAGATAGGTCCTTTCCTTGAAGAGTATTTACTTTAGGTGATCCAAAGGGTTGGATATTCCCTCCCGCTTCTATTTTGGCAAAAGTCAGAATAAAAAATATCCCCTTTTCTTCACTGGGAAGGTCTCCCTGGTTGTAGAATTCCCCTGGCTCTCCAAATCTTTTCAGTTATTTCCTCACCCAAGACACACTTGAATTTAACCTCTAGGTTGACAAATATCCATCACTGATCCTTCTCATCATTTAAAGTTTTCTTTGTAAAACCTGAAGCCTCTATGCACAGGGACGTTGGACCCATTATTTATTTAGCCCACCATTTTGTCGGCAGAAACACGGGGGAGAGAAGGTGGGTGTCATTCTAGCTAACTTCTTTCACATAAGTCCTGAACCAACATTCCTCAAATTGCAGGGTTGGGAAAATGCCTTTTGGTAAAATCATAGAGTGGTCAACATTAAGGGGCCTTTGGGTCCATACAACCTTGTCTCTTTGCTCAAGGATGCAGACTTCTTAGGGACAGAACTAGGGTTAAAATACTTAAGGCTATTTCCTCTGCTGGCTTCGTATCAACTACTTAATGTGGCCATGTTGGCCAGTGCTCATTCCTGGCTCCTCTTCTCACTCCATGTCTCACACCAGGTGAACTTATTCATTCCCAGATATGTAAATTATGTCTATGACTTTCAAATTTATATTTGTAAACTCCAGACTCATGTATCTAACTGCCTACTCATTTGAATATCCTGCAGCTATAGCCAAATTAATGTGTCTAAAACAAGACTTTCAGTCGTCCGACTGGTCTCCCCCTTCCAACTCCACATCACTAACTTCACCCAGCCTGCTAGTACTGCTTATGTAGACTATCCCAACTGTTCCTGTAGACTATTCTAACAGTTCCTGAATTATTTTCTTTCTTCTTTTCTGCATCCCCCCCGCCCCCAAACTGTTCTCCACACAGCATCCAGAATAATCTAATTATGTAAACTGGATCCTATCACCATCACCAGTTATGACCACTTCAAGTTGCATGTGGAGTAAAATCCAAAATCTTCACTTTGGCTAGAAAGTCCTCATCTTACAGCCCCTGCCTGCCTCCAACTGCATTTCATCTCTCACCCTTGGTCTTCCAGGTTCAGCCACACCAGCCTTTTAGTTGCTGAATGTATTAAATTTTCCCTGCCTCTGGGTCTCTGGCTGTGCTATTTTTCTACTTGGAAGCTCTCTTAGCGCTCCTCCTCACACTCCAGGCTTCAGCTTACATAGAGCATCCTCTGATGGGCCTTTTCTGATGACTCGCCATGTTCTTTTCACAGCATTTATTGCAATTTGTAATTCTTTAATTAATATGTCCTTCTGCTCAAACTCTTTTATTGTCACTACTTTCTAAGTACTCCAAGAGCAAAGCCAACCCAAGCCTTGCTTCCTGTAGTATATTTGCTACATGAAAATCTGAAATCTTTGTGCATCCTCAACATGGGCTTATTATTGTAGAGTTAAACTCATACCTTCTCAGCCAGAAGTTTTTCTTCTCTGACTAGATCTTTAAAGACAAAATTATTCCTTTTTCTTACTTAGAATTCTGCTTCCCTTTTATTACAAATACAGGAATTGGAGGGCTCCTTTGTTAAGTGCTATGCTGTTGGCTTATTTGCTGTTTTGTTTTTTTAACAGGAGGAAAAAAAGCCCTAAGTTTTATTACATGCTCACAAAGGCCCAGTGATGAGATTGAGATGAAACAATGACCAACGGAGGTGGCTTTTGTACATTTTAGACAAAGAAGCATAAATCTTTGATATTTTACAGGACAATTATGTTTTCTATGTTTGGGAGCTACCATTAGTAAGGAATTCTCAAAATGATTGGGTCTGGGGTAGTAAATTAGTAAAAGTAACAAGATTTGTTTATACAGAATTCTTGGTCTTGAATTCCCTATCTTTGACAATAAGGATATCTCTCTATCTCCTGGTATGTGAGGTGGTGTCTTTCCTATGGGAGATTTATTTTCTTCTTTCTGGAGACAAAGGGAGGTCTTAGTGTTCTTGCACTGGCCATTTCTTAAGTAACTTGATTCAAATATTCAAGATGCATCTGTGGAACTTTTTGTGGTGCAGATGATTTGTAAACTGCAAAGGTCCACAGACGCCTATCCATCTTTTAAAAATAGCCATCCATTCTTTCTGGCCTCTGTCTATGTTCATTGCTTTGGAGAATCCCAATTCAAGCAGGGAAGTTAGACACATTATTTCCTGATGCTCTGAGGCTCATGGTCTTTAATGAATGAAACCCTTTACTCTCATAGGAATAATTCAGATAAATGTATCAGAATGGAACAGTGCCACAAGAGAAAGAAGGGTTTGAGAATCCACTGGAAAAATCCATTTGCTGGTCAGCAATAAATAATTTGTGCCACATGGTTTGTTTATAGCCCAGAAGGTGATACCATGGAGGCTTCAGACTTTATAGGAAAGTCTGATTCTGTACTGACCTAGTCATCTGCTTGGATAAATTCCAACCTGGAGTTGCTTTCTTTACTTTATACATTTCACATGCGTCCTTCTCGGGGTGATGTGAGCCAGAGAGGCCCAAATACATGCATTCTTCAAATGGACATCATTTTCAAAAAAACAATCTCCAAGTCTCCGAAAGCAGGGTTCTCTGGTACGCTTCTGAATATAGGAGCACAGCCTAAATATTCCTCGGAGAATTTCCTAGGTGTGTGACTGCTTGTTAAGCTAAAAGGAAGGAAAAAATGAGAAGCCTAATGTCTACACAGGGGATGACCGGGTATGTCACCGTGAAAGCCCACTTCCACCATCCATGCCAAGTTCGCCGTCTAAAACTTTCCTGAACTTTGTCAAATTGGCAGGATACAAAAGGTAACAGTTTCATCTGTGCAGGTAAGAAATTTCGTGTCTGAGATGCCACTCTGTTACACAGGGTACCTACGGCCAGTCACTATCAAGCACGTATTCAATACTTCTCTTTGACACACCTTAAAAAGTAGGGAAACCTTTATGAAAGCCCAAGTAAGTGTTTTCGTCACTCAGAAAATAGGTGACCTAAATCTGGCAGCGTCCACGGCCTTGCACAAGAAGCTCAGTCCCATTTGCCCCATCTTAATGCAAAAATGCAGTTCTAAACACAAGTTGCCACTGGCAGGAGAGAGCAGATCAATTGCCGGCACAACCCAGTTTCCCCTCAGCCTTTGCTGAAGTTGGCCCAGGTTCAGCGTCTACACTGACGCCACACACTGGCAGCCTGGGCTCTGGCAGCTCCCTGGGTTCCCAGGCAGCCCTGAGCTGGAGGCCCAGAGAACAAACACTGCTTCCCAGCAAGCCTCCCCCACCCTGCCCGGAGGCCAGGCCTTCCTCTTCCTCCGCTTTCTCACCAGCTGGGAGCCTTTGGGGGATGGCCGTCTTCCCCTCTTCCCACCACAGGGAGTGGTGGTGTGGGGACCCAAGGGACTTGGCCTCTGGTTTGCGTCTGTCTCCCAGAGAAGGAGGGTGTACAGAGGCCACCTTTGAGAGTCTTTGGAGCTGGTGATCAGTGAAGTGTCTAAGCTGGTGGAGCCAACTGTGCTGACTTAGTCGGCCTGGCTTTGCTTTTGTTCACTTAAGGAAAATAATGTCAGAGTGCAGCATGGGCCCCCAGCGGGAGGGCTGACACCGTGGAGACGACTCATTAGCAGATGCTCTGCCGAACCTCAGCTGTTCTCTCTAGCGACATCGCTGTGACAGGGAGCTATTTGTTCAGGTGACAGGGCTTAGTGGGCTTCAGGCCAGGATCCCCTACCCCCCATCCCCAGGGACCCCCTTTCCAGCACTGAAAAACACTAGAGTCTCCACACTGGTTTAATCCTGTATCCTCTCAACCTGCAAACTAACCAACTTCTCTCAATTACACTTAAGAGATTTTGGTGGCCAGAGCGCCCTCCGTCAGTGATGCTGGGTGCCAGGTACAAACGGGCGGGGTTGGAAAGCCGAGTTGGGAGGTTGCCACCACTGGACCTTTCTCCATGTGGTTGTCACCCTGGTGGGGTGGAGTCTGCTGATGACCATGGGGTGATCTTGGGTTAGAGCGGCTAGTCTCCAGGGGGCTAACACCCATATGTATTTTCAACTAATTTTGTCAACGAACTCACTGGATTATCTATCCCTGCTAAGGCCTCTTAGGGGCTCAGGGATGTTTGAGGTTTTGAATTTCCAGCTTTTAAGGTTTCCAGTATTTGAAAATAGAAAGAAACACTAAATGGGTCTTAAAAAAACTTATGTGTTAAATATTCAATCCACTTGGAGTATTTTCAGAATCGTGTGATATCCCTTGAGAGAAATGGCAACATGTTAAGACAAAGTGGGGGGCCCTGTGAATGGGAAGTTGGGCCAAGCAACTACTCTGTCCTCAGCATCATATTCTTTGCCCCTCTCCTGTAGGCTGTGGCCCCCAGTCTTGACTCTACGGTGAAATGCTGGGCACTTGGATATCACCCAACCGAGAGAGGTACCTTTGTGGCCTAGAAGCTCAAACAGGCCTCTTAGCAAATAATTTGGGCTTTACTATTAAGGTTGATGACTTCTCTGTTAAGTTTTTGTGACTTGTTCTGAACAAAAGGCTGTAGGCAGAAGTGGTTTGTGCCATTTCTGGGCTACAGTGTAAAAGAGTCAGAACATGGCCCTTCTCAGATCTTTCCTTCCTATAGAGTCTGGAGATATTTTAAGTGGTAGAACCTGGTTCCCATAGAGTTAAAACTTCCTCCTTGCCATGTACTTGACATAGAGCAGAGCAAGAAAGAAACTTTTGGAGGCACCTGGGTGGCTCAGTCGTTAAGCGTCTGCCTTCGGCTCAGGTCACGATCCCAGGGTCCTGGGATCAAGCCCCGCATCGGGCTCCCTGCTCCGCGGGAAGCCTGCTTCTCCCTCTCCCACTCCCCCTGCTTGTGCTCCCTCTCTCGCTGTGTCTCTCTCTGTCAAATAAATAAAAATAAAATCTTTAAAAAAAAAAAAAGAAAGAAACTTTTGGGTGTAAAGCCACTGAGATTTTGGAGCTCATTTTTTTAATCATTGCATAGCTTAAACTCTTCTGACTAATACAACAACATACTTTAAGTAAATTTTATTTAAACCATTGGATTTTAAAATATTTAAAATACTCTTATGTAGGCATATTATTGTATGTGTGTAAAATATATGATTACAAACTTTTGGTCATAAATTTTTCATGTGCAACAAACAAAATGAACCATGAATTACCGTCTCTTTTTGGTTTTGCATCTATTAAACACCTGATGCTAAGATTGTTACCCAGGATAGGCAATGCGATTAGGAGTCTAGAAGTCAAATTTTCTCCACAGTGAATAGAGCTTGATACAGGCTGTGGTCTCAGGAAATTCAGTAGAGTGGGAAGAGGCCAGGCATAGGAACGAGGAGATTTAGAAGCCACAGGATATTCAGGATCACTCTGTGCCCCTCCTCACTGGGTCCCTCACTGGTCTGTCCCCTTTGGAACTGCGGTGGCAGTGGTGATCAGTGCTTCTTCTCAGTTACATCCGGTCTTACGTTATCTTTCCATTCATTACTCAAAGATCTGCTGAGCCTGGGAAGGGATCTCATGTCAGGAGGTGGGAACTCAGAGCCCTAAGCCAGCCCTTAATGACCTCACAGTCTAGTGAAAAGTTCCCTACAGTCAGTTCAGATCCGTTTTTCCATCCTCGATTACTACAGTCTGCTTTGAGTTGCTTCACACTATGTAATTCTGGCAGGGTCATCTACATTTTCCATCTCTGAAACTTACTCAAGAACAGCCAGGTTTTGTGTTCGAGAGCGAACAACTGTGAAAACTTGTACCTCTGGAGGGGGTAAAGGCTGGGAGGGGGAAAACCCCCAGCAGAAGTATGCCCCGTTCATGAATGTGCCCTCGTCAAGTGTCCTTCACACGAAATGTGGCATTTCACGGGAAGACCATCTCAAGCATCCCCCTTTTCTCTATCACTGACATTCAACTTGAAATGTTCTCTTTCCATATACAAGTCAAAGCAAGACTTTTCCAAGTGTCAGCTCCACAAGCTCAAGCTAGTTCTTGGCAGTGGAGTGGGTTCCCTTTTGCCCCTGGCAGAGTATTAGTAAGCAAAGCACAGCTAGCTGAGCAGAGCTGCATCGATGGACTGGGGCCCCAGGTGCGAAAGAGCTCCTCGGTCCCAGCCTGCCCGGTTCTCTCAAGACATCTGCCCCTGATCCGGAGGGGTTCAGGGTGTGCATTCAAGGATGACAGAGCTGCATCCTTTTTTTTTTTTTTAAACTTTTGAAGGGCAAAGGACCAGCTTGTTCTCTCTGCAGCTAGACGAGCTGTACCCGCTGCAGGCAAACAACCAGCATTTGTCAGCAAGCTGCACCAACAAGATGCAGAAGAGAGAGCCCAAGCAGAGGAGGGCAGCTCAGACGCACGTGGTGCCAAGCCCCCCTCAGGTAATCCTTTGCAAACTCGATGGTAATCAGTGCCACCCCAGGGCACCAGATGAGCCCACAGAAAGCTCTTGCACCTTTGGCTGAATGTGGCTGTAGACTAGCATTTGGGGAGAGTATCTGTTGTTTCCAGGCAGGACAGATTGCTGAATACAAAAGTGATTCTTTTGACATTGATAAATAATGTGACTCATGATTCCCCGCACAGAAATTGTGCAAACCCTTAATTATCAAGACACTTTCTCAGGGGCACATTAGAACATACGCTGAATTGAGTTACCTTCACCTTTGCCAACGCTTTTGAAACACGGTGCGGTAAGCTGCCCTTAGAAGTTTTTGCTTTTGTTTGTAAATCATCAGTTCAAACTGCACGAAGGTCCAGGAATTAAAAAGAGAAACAGCCCAGAAAACATTACATAGAGTAAGATTCCTGAAGTAAGTTTTCTTTTTTTTTTTTTTTCCCCTCCTGGCGAACAGGTCACAAGATTGCAATTCTAAACAATCTTACAATTAATTCTTGAGCTATGCAGTCCAATTAGAACAAATGCTTTCTTTCTCGTTTAATTAGAGATGAGTGCGCGCCTGTGAGCTTATTTGTATAAAGTAAGTGCTCATTGAACAAGGTTTGGATCAGGCTCAGCTTGTTAGAAATGCCCTGAAAAGGCTGCTTTCTCTCACTGTCTCTGGCCCCTTTAACCCCTTCCATGCCCAGAATGAACTTGTTAGATGTGGAGAATATAAAGAGTATCTTTGTGGCAACCTGGTGAACTTGAAAGAGGTAATGCATTTGCTGGAGTTATTGGGAAAGAAGCCCAACCTCTCAGCTCTGCACACCTAGCATCTTTCTGACCTTCTGCATCCACTGCAGGTGGGAGATCCGGCTCACATCTGATGAAGCCTGCTCTGTTGTAGCAAGAGCAGACTTCTGTGTGATAGGTGCTTTTGAATGTCTCATTATGCAGAGTGTGAGCCTCGGGCCAGCAACAGCTCTCAGACCCCCACCCTAGACTTGTGAAAATCTGCATTTTTTTTTTAAAGATTTTATTTATTTATTTGAGAGAGAGAATGAGAGAGAGTGAGAGAGCACATGAGAGGGGGGAGGGCCAGAGGGAGAAGCAGACTCCCCGCTGAGCAGGGAGCCCGATGCGGGACTCTATCCCGGGACTCCAGGATCATGACCTGAGCTGAAGGCAGTCGCTTAACCAACTAAGCCACCCAGGTGCCCCGAGAATCTGCATTTTAACAAGATCCTCAGGTGTTTCGTGTTCACGTTACAATCTGAGGAGCACATTGGACTAAAGGCAGCAAATGATTTTATTTTAAAAGACAAAGGACCCTTGGGAGCCTCCAGAATGCCACTTCCATTAAAGAGAATCAGCCCTGAGCCCTCTCTCTACAGTGGGGGGATTGCCACTTTGACCCCCCCTTATCACCATACTCTCTACTAAAGATTCAAATGTGTCCCCTCCTGCCATCCTCTAGTGAGCTCCCCTGACCGAAAGGCCCCGGGTCACGAGCCCCTCCCCACATCTGTGCCTTGGCCTCTTACCCACCCCTTCAGCTCTTCTAGGTCTCTGGCTACAGGGAGAGAGAGGATTCTTGCCCTGGAGGGGCTCGCTGTCTCATGGATGGATGCTGGAGGGAGAGAATGAGTGGAAATAGTCACAGGACGCCCAATCCTAAGATGAGATATGTTCATCACTAGATCCAATGTTGGAAAGGCCACACAACCTGGAAGGAGGGGGGCCCTGTCTCCACGGGGAAGGCTCCATTATGTAGTATCCCGGCACGACATGCGCCAAGAAGCAACTTCCAAGACTGTCATGCGTTAAAGAGAACTTAACTTGCCAAGCATGTAAATGCCACCTTGCTTTAGTTTTCTGCTCAGCAAGAGTTTGTCCTTTGTTTTCTCATTTATTTCATCCAGAAAGTAAAACTTGGGTATAACAAGATGGCAGCATGAGGAAAGTTACCAACAGGGCTGCGGACCTCTCTGCTCCCTCCTGTTGTTCAGCTCTGGACTTTCCTCAAACAGCCTGGGGTGAGGAGACATGATCTGCTCTTGCTTTGCCACATGGTGCCTAGAACAGGGTTGAGCAGGTAGTATTAAACTTCTGTCCTTCCAACCTAGACATAGAGACTAATGTCATGGTTAATGAGGATATTGAAGGAGCCCAGACTAGCAGATGAGTCATCACCAATGAGTCTCATAGCTGGCACTGGTCTGACCTGGTATCCTGCTTACTGCCTCTGCCCTAGAGGTGGACCCAGCCCTGCAGCCCTCACCACATTGTCTCGATGCTGGGGCAGGACTAAAGGCATCTGCACAGCCTCGGATGTTCCTCCCCAGCCCTCAGCTCCAGCCTGTGAAATGCCCTGGCTCTCCCATTCCTGCTCCCTTTACCTTTTGCTGGTGAAACAGAAACCTGGAGGAAGACCTGGGAGGGAATGAGGAATGACGCCTTGCTCCCTCTCAGTAAGTGTGATTTCCTTAGACCATGATGATCGTGTGGTACATTAACTCACCATCATCATCAACTGGAGTGGGATGGTGGAAGGAGATGTGAGGGAGGTAGGCTCAGCTTGGGTGAAACTGGATCTGGAAAAGACAAGAGTGAGGAGCTAGGATCAAGTAACCATGTAGCTTGGTTTTGGGAGCTGGGATCACGTAACCATGCAGTTTGCTGGAAACCTTGAACGTGATTCTGAAAAGTTCAACTGGAGTTTTAAATAAGAGCTTTCAAGTAATTTTGGTAATTTTTAAAAATCACATAAGCAAAATATGTTCAATGTTTAAGAAAATGAAATTTGAAATGATCAACCATTGCTTGTCATTCTACCACTTTTAAACACTTTGGTATATTCTATCCTCCCACATTTTATGCAGATAGAGATATAAACACATAGAAAAATTTCTAGATATAAATTTTATATAAAACGGACTCACACACACACACAAAAAAACCCCCAGAATCACAGTACACATACAAATGATCTTTCAACAATATCATTTTCACTGACTGTATAGTTTTATACTGGTGCATATATTACAGTTTTTGAAGCTAAATTGCTACAAATTATTATTGTGCATTTAGGTTATTTCCTCATCTACATCTATTCACCTACCTACCTATCTATATCTATCACCTTTTTATGTTTTACTATCTTAAACAGTATTAAACTACATTATTATAGTTAAGTCTTTACAATATCTTTAATAATTCCCTCAGAATATGTTAAATATATCATTGCTTGGTTAAAGGGAATCTGTAATTTATGAATTTTGAATCTTATTGTCAGATTGTTTTCCAGAAAGCTTATACCAATTTTTACTCTCTTGTGAGATATACCTTTCTCACTCTAGCCAATGGATTTTGGGGAAAAATCACTTTGGGTTTGGGGGCCAACCATCAGAGTTAACTTCTAACACAGTTCTACTCAGAACTGTTCTTGGGCTCTCCTTTAATGACAGAGAAGGTAAAATATGAGCCTTCAAGAGCCTAGAATCCAGATGATGGCATTTGGAAACTTTGTTCTCATTGCCAGTCTTCCTAACTACTCAGGAGGGCCAATTAAGCAATGGAAGCCTGGGGCTCTGGAGGGTATCTGGGACAGGTCTTCAGTTGTGTGATGTCTGGATGCCAACTGGGGGCTCCACGGGATCAGAAGAAATGGCTGCAGGTTCCACAATGGCTGAGACGCCATTGCAGCAGATGCTAGAGCTAAGGTCACCCATTTCCTCCAGGAGCTTGGTGTGGTCTGCTGAGTGAGCCATAGCCACAGGAAGCAAGGAAAAGCACAAACGTATGGCGGATTCAGAAAGGAAATCAACTGAGGGAGGAAGGAAGACCAACCTGACTGATCAACTAGAAGGCTATGGCTCCAGAGTGGAAGAAATGAAGAAGAGCATAACTTAAAAAAAGAAAAAAAAAGGAAACTTTCAAGGAGACACATTCACAGAGATCCCTAAAAAGAAATTTTTAGCTAAAATACACATTTTGCAAAATAAGACATTTAATGGAAGAACTGATAAAGGGAATAGTCACTGCTGATCACTTAATTAAAGATCTCATTAAGGAAACATGCAAGAGAGAGGGAATAGTGAGTGAAATTATGAGATTTGGAGAATTAAGATGTTATAAGCAGTGTTAAGAAATTTCAATAGGAAAAAAAAGAACAGATGGAGAAGTTTTAAATAAGTAAAAGGAAACATTTTGAACTAAAGAAAACTTCAATTTTGAAGTTGAAAGGGTTCAGCAAATGTCATGCAAGATTAATAATAGTATTAATAATACTAGTAATACAGACCTGACCAGAGCTGGCCAGTAGAGCTTCCTGCAGGGATGGAAATGCTCTGTGCTGGGCAACATGGTGGCCACTAACCACACAGAGCTCTGGAGTGTGTGAAATGGGGATAGTATGGCCAAGGAACTGACTTTTAAATTTTATTTAATTTTATTTAACTAACATTTTCACTTAATTAGTCAATGTTAGTGCTTCCCACTTCGGACAGCTTAGATCTAGACATATCCTGGTGAAATTTCTGAAATACAAGCCTCAGTGTCAAAGCTATAAACTTCTAGACAAGTACAAAAGCCTGCCTTCAAAGTCTAGAGAATCAGATTTGTATCTGACTTCTCATCTGCAATACCAGAAGTTAAAAGAAAATAGAAGCACATCTACAAACTATTAATAGAAAAATATATGATTAAAAAAAGTCCTCTGTTCTGCCAGGATAACAATCTTTATAAGGAGAAACGAATGTGATACTTTTAGGTATGTTACTATTCAGAAAATTTCAAGAAAGTACTCTGTAAAATGTAAATAAAAACAGAGCAAAGATTTACATGCAGAAAAGATAACATGTCCCAGAAACTTTGGTGTATAATGAATCTGGATGTGTATTAGATGTGTAATAGAAAGGATGATGGTGTCAATGGAAACTGTGATTTAAATATTAAATAGTTTCTTCAAGAACAAAAAATTAGGAAAATCTAGAGACCAGGAAAAACCAATAATAATCTGGTAGAACAACAACAAAACTCTATTATGTCTGCACACAGAGAACATACCATCTTCTTTTATAATTCATAGAATAAGGACAAAGATCAATTTGTCTTCAGTTAGAATAAAACCCTAACAAATTTCAAATAAGGGAGATTTTATAGATCACATTCTTTGACCATAATCTTTTACCCCCAAATCCTCAAACCTAGAAAAGCAATAATGAAAAGATGTCACCCAAAAGCTTGATTTGTTGAAATTTTAGAAATATTTATCTAAATAACTTCTCATATGAAAGAGTAAATAAAAATCGGAATTACAAATCATACAGAAAAATTAAAATGAAAACTTAGCGGATGCAGCCAAAGCTGTGCTGGGAGAAAAATTTATAATACATCATTTTTATTATATTTAAGTAAATAAACTAGATAAAGAAGAATACAATAAGCACAAGGATTATGAGAGTAGGACTGATAAAAATAAAACTTGAAAGAAATTAAATTAAAAGAAACAACATAAAGAACTATTTTTTTAAAAAGATGAAATAGACAAACCCATAGAAAAGATGAAATAGACAAACCCTGGAAAATAGACAGGAAACAAAAGATACAACATTAAGAGTGGAATATGAAGTATAAGAACAGACATTAAAAAGAGAAAAGTTACAGGTGGGTACTTTATGTGACTCTACAGTAATACTTTTAAAACATACTGGAAATTGGTGATTTAAAAAATATATATATAATTAGCCCAATGATGGTAGAAAAATAAACATACCAAAAATTTACCCAGCTCTGTTGATATTCACAGCTAACACCCATTTTATATTCAAAAAATAGTTCCTATGTTATTGAAATTTTCTGTATATAGAAAATTATAGAAATGTCCTAATTCATTTCAAATCTATTATAATCTTAATACCAAAGATTATAGAACAATAAACAAATGAATAAGTACTTTATATAAGTAAATAGCAAGTAAAATCCAGCAGTATATTGAAAGAATGCTTATTACAACATAACCCAGGAGGGCTTGTAATTGAAGGAATGGTTCACCATCAGGAAATCTAAAAACATAATTCTTAATTCAGTTGTAGGAGAAAGATGAAAAAATATCAGTAGATTCTAAAGTACATTACACAATTTGGACAATAGATAAAAATTCTACCCCAGCTTAGAAGTAAACTGAGTAAATATGCTGAACACTGTGAGCCAATACATGAGTGGTAAAATGCTAAAGCTGTTTCTATTAAATCAAAAAGAAGAGAAAATGACACTACTATTGGACACTGAAGCTGCTAGAAAAGGAAGTTGGCAAAATATATGTTAGAATTAAAAATCCTCAAAATAATATTTGTTTTCAGAAAATATTAATATATTTCTAGACAACTTGAAAGATTATCAAAAAAATATTTAGAATTCATAAGAGTTTTTGATAAAGTATATGAAGGTGTGTATATATATAAAATATATAAATAATATATACAATATAATACATAAAATATATATTATGTAAGTTTTATATATTTACATATTTATTTTATATTATTATAAATATTTATATATTTATATATGTATAAAAATCAATAACCCCTTTCTTGGATATAGCAATAAGGGATTAGGGGAAATCCCATTTAAAATAGGTACAAAAACTATTAAAAACCTTCAGGAATAAATTTTTTTTCTATTAACATAATGTATTATTTGTTTCAGGGGTACATGTCTGTGATTCATCAATCTTACACAATTCACAGTGCTTACCATAGCACATACCCTCCCCCATGTCTGTCACCCAGCCACCCCATCCCTCCCACCCCCTTCCACTCCAGCAACCCTCAGATTGTTTCCTGAGATTAAGAGTCTCTTTTGGTTTGTCTCCCTCTCTGGTTTCATCTTGTTTCATTTTTCCCTCCCTTCCCCTATGATCCTCTGTCTTGTTTCTCAAATTCCTCATATCAGTGAGATCATATGATAATTGTCTTTCTCTGATTGGCTTATTTTGCTTAGCATAATACCCTCTAGTTCCATCCACGTCGTTGCAAATGGCAAGATTTCATTTCTTTGATGGCTGCATAATATTCCGCTATGTATATATGCATCTTCTTTGTCCATTCATTTGTTGATGGACGTCTAGGCTCTTTCCATAGTTTGGCTATTGTGGACATTGCTGCTATAAACATCGAGGTGCACGTGCCCCTTTGGATCACTACATTTGTACCTTTGGGGTAAATACCCAGTAGTACAATTGCCCCCAGGAATAAATGTAATCAGAACAAAGAATACTATCAAACTTTATTTAAGGACTTAAGGTAGAAACAAAGAGCGAAACATACCATGTTCTGGAGGAAAGTCTTAACATTTGAAGTCTCAGCTGTCATGAAATCAGTGGTTACATGAAAGGCGTTCTCATGGAGCCCCTCCCTCCTCTCTTCCTGTGGAACATTAGGAATCATACTTCTTGACTGTAAGTAAAAAATGAAAGTACAAACATGTAAAAATTTCCCATAAAAATTTGAAAAAGGAAAATACCGAAGGGTGGCAGAGAGAATTTGCCTAGCCGGATGTGAAAACATACTTTAAAATTTCTGGAATCAGAATCACATGGCATTGAAATGAGGGCAGGGACACGCTATAAGTGAGCTCTCAGCCTCCTGGGAGGAGGTGGCTTCTGGAAGAAAACCTTCAACGGCAGGAGAAAGACACATAGAGAATTTTTCCAGTTGGTGTCTGTGGCTATTTGTTGGGATTGGACAATCCTCTCTGCAAACCAAAAATGTAATTTTATGCAAAATGCAATTTTATAATTTAAAATAATAATGACAAAGAAGTAAACATAATCTTATTCTGTGTCATCCGATGGCCACCCACAGCTAAGAACTGCCACAAAATCTGTGTCATACTTGTATTTCCAATTATGTGCCTTTAGGATTGTACTGGTGGTAAGGAGCCCTGATTTAATAATCCTGTGCAAATAAGAACAGACGTAGATTTAAAACACTGATGATGTGCTCGTGATGAGTGCCAAACACCAATGTGGCTCAGTGACAACAAAAGTTTACATCAGTGGGAACAACAAGGAAGCCTTAGGTCTTCACATGACAAATAATATTCTCGGCATACCCACCTGGAGAGGACCCGCTTGCCCCATAGCCCTGAGTCCCTGTTCGCTTCTGACCAGCACCTTGGTTATGGCAGTGTGCTGTGTTCATTTGAAGCTTATTGGTTTTGTAATTGTGTTTGTATTTCATTTGTGAAACAAATTTAGTTTGCTAGAGTAGAACTATGAGAATAAGGAGCTTATATCTAGTATGTGTTTGCTTACTGTAATGAAAAAGAACTTAAGTTAAAAAATCAGCATTGGCATAAGAATAAAACAACGGATCAGTGGGAAGATCAGAAGCACTGAAGAGAGAGGTCAGAAAGAAAGATATTTTATGAACGAAGCACAGGATTACACAACATTTTATTTCAGTGGGACAAGAAGGTTGGATAAATAACAGATATGGACAAAATTAACAATCCACATAAATGAAAACAAAGATCTCTGTTTTACCCTATTTATAAAATGCATTTTAGCCAGTTTCTCCACGTGGGCACTCTTGACATTTGGGGTTGGCTAACTCTCTGTTGTGGGGGGACTTCCCATGCACTGTAGGATGTTTGGCAGGGTCTATGCCCCTCCCCCCAGGTGTGACAAACAAAAAGGTATCCGGACATTGTCATAGAGCTGGGGGAGGAAATTGCCCCCTTTAGATGTACTAAAGATCTAAATGTAAGGAAAATCCTCATCAGCATCATCAGGAGTAGCCCAAGCCACATTCGTAAAAAAATGTCTATGACTCCATGTTTAGAGGTAAAATACAGTTAAATATCTCAATCTACCCACAGGGGACTGATGGATTAAACTGCAGGGCTTCCCTGCAGGGCAGTGGTCTTTGGCTGCTAAAAAGGTCCTGGTGTATCTCACCGAGAGGCAAGTTCACCGTATGTTCTGAAGTAGCAAAACAGGTTTGCAAATACTTTCTTTAAAAAGGGAGAACAAGGGGCACCTGGGTGGCTCAGTAGGTTAAGCGTCTGCCTTCGGGCGGGTCATGGTCCTGGGGTCCTGGGATCGAGCCCCGCATCCAGCTCCCTGCTCGGCGGGGAGCCTGCTTCTCCCTCTCCCTCTGCCCCTCCCCCCTGCTCATGCTCTTTCTCACTTTTTCTCTCTCTCAAATAAAATCTTCAAAAAAAGGGGAGAACAAAGGCCTTATTTGTGTGTATGGGTGAGTATGTATACACATAAATTATTTTGCATGTTTGCATAAGTTTCGAGAACATTCTCAGGGGGCAGGGGGTGGGGGAGGGGGCACAAACCAAACCACTAGTCCTGCTCACTGTGAAAGAGCAGAGGCACCACCGTGTGGGTGGGTTTGGTTGGGCCAGCAGAGACTCTTGGCTTCATTTATATTACCAGTCCATTGTGACAAGCACATGAAGATGCTGTAATCCAAAAGGTAAAGCCAGTAGAGTTTGTGTAGTTCAAAGGCCTATCCAGTGGAGGGAGAGCACTTTATGGCTCAGTGTGCTAAGCGATATAACACAGTGATGATTATTTTTTGGGGGGGGGGCAGAATGCCGTGGGGTTTAGTGTGTTTTTGGTTGGACAGGGATAGTGGGTCGTATAGTGGCCACCAAAAATATCTGTCTGTGTCCAAGTCCCTGAAACCAACGGATATTACCTTATTTGGAATAAAAGGTCTGTGCAGACGTGATTAAGGATGTCGAGATGGCCTCATGATACCCCAGGTGGGCCCGAAGCGCAACGATAAATGTCCTTATAAGAAAAAGGCCGAGAGAGATTTGAGACACACAGAGCAGGTCATGTGAAGAGGGATGCAGAGGCGGGTACGATGAACACCACAGCCACCAGCCTCTGGAAGAAGCACGAAGCGGATTCTCCCTTCGAGTCTCTGTGGGGAGCACCGCCCGGGCCACACCTTGACTTCAGACTTCCGGCTTCCAGAGCAGTGAGAGAATACATTTCTCTTGTTTAAGCTATCCGGTCTGTGGTAATTTGTTACAGCAGCCACAGGAAACCAATAGAAAGAGGATAATTTATGTTTTCTGGGATGGTGGAGGGAAGCTCCATTAGAAATGTGGTTGTTGTCTTGCACTTTAAAGGGAAGTGGAAAAGGGAGGGTGGCCACTTGAGGCGGGGGGACAGCATGCGCAAAGGCCCAGCGGCCGAACGGGGCAGAGCTGGGTGAGTGTGGCTCGGATGTGAGACGTATTTAATTGGGAAGGTGAGGTGAGAGGTGAAATATTATGTTTTCTCCTGCTCTTTTTACCTGAAGAAATGAGTTCACAAACAATTGAGGGCTATTTTCTAAGAAGATTAGGCAAATTCATGTCAGAGACAGAACTCCGATAAAATCTACCTTCAGGATCAAAGTTACGAGTGGGGAGGATGGCAGCCCTGCATAGTCCCCAGAAAAAGGGAATGTGAGAAGTGACTCCTGGAATTCAAAATGTGGCAGCTTGCTGGATCTTGAAGGCCCCATTCTCAGCCAGTTTGCTCACATTCCTAGCAGACGGCTTGCTTCGGCATCCATGTAATCCCTGCCAGAATGGGAAGCCCCAAGCTAGGCAGAAAGCAAAATATTTTCATCATTTGACATGATAAAGCGTGTGGCTCTTGAGTAAGAAGAGCTGGCACAACCCTGGGCAAGTTCTGTCTCATCCCATCCACTCCAGCACCAGGGGGAAATGACTCTCCGCCAGCCCGCACAGCGGAGGGGGTCTCATGCTGGCCTGGAAGGCGACAGACGCTGTGCCCGTTCTTTGTGTACCATACCTGGCCTTGGCTTTTCCACCAGCAGGGCTCCTGCCACTGTTGAGTGCAATTTTTATTGCAGGTGGGTGTGATTCTCCTTGGTGCCCTTAGAGATGCCCAAGCAGGAAGCTTCTGGTGGTGCATATTGAGCCTAAAAAGGAATGAGCTTACATGCCAGAAATGCTTGCAGATGTATGGTTGAAAACATTTGTTGCACAGGACTGACACTATAAATAGATGTGGATAAGCAGGCAGGCAACAGTTTGCATGGGTGGCCTTGTCTTCGTGGCAGAGACAGTTCCCAGAAGCACGCACCACTGGGGCTGGCTCTGGATCCAGTGAAGCTGCCAGGTCATCACCATGACATGGCTCACAGCTGCGCTTATGCCAAGCCCTTTCCCTCACTGTTCAAAACCCATCTGCAGTCATCTCCAGAAACTTCCATGAGAGGCTGGGGGCTCTCATCTATCAGTGGTACGCCATACATGTGAAATCCTGTCTCCTCTGTTCCGCAGAGGAGGTGGAGGGTGTGTGTGTGTGTGTGTGTGTATGAATGTGGGTATGTTTGTGTGTGAGTGTATGCACACGTATATGAGTGGGTGTGTTTGTGAGTGTGAGTGCATTTGTGTGAGTGTGCACGTATACATGCGTGTCTGTGTGAGAGTGTGTGTTTGAGTGTGTTTCTCTGTACGTGTGTGCACATGCATGTGTGCCCCATGTCCCAACCCTTGGGAGCTCTGAAAGCCGGGGGCTTGTCTGCATCTCAAGGGAACGCTATGGGAGTTCTCACTAGTCCCCCAAACAGAGTAGTGCTCTCCCTGCTCTTGGGAAGGACTGGAAGCTTGGTGGGGAGCGGGGGGACACAGAGGAGGCTGCAGCCCGGGATGCATGTGTGGTGCCGGGAGCACGGAGGAAAGGGTGGTGTCTGGGGAGCAGGGGGAGAAGTAGCTGAGGAAGGATCGGAGCTAAGGCTCATCGGCAGCGTCCTTTCTCCTGCTCCTCTTCTGTGTGGGCCAGCCAGACGCAGAGGAGAGCAAGGGGGTGAGAGAAGAGAAGGTAAGAAGCCGCAGCGATTATGCAGCCCAGCAGCCAATAAGCTGGCGAGAGGAAACATAAGCAGGAAAACGCTTCTCTGGGACAGAACACTAGCTCACAGACAGTCTGAAGGCCTTTATCTGGAAGCTTGTTACAATAAAGCTTCCATGTGGTTGGGAAGAAACCAGGAACCTCATGGGCTGTGCTCCCCAAACCTTTGTTTCCCATCCCAATCTAGAAATAATGAAGGCACTGTGTGAGCTCACTGCCGTCCATGATCTCAGCCAAGGCTCACAGAGCTTAGGTCCATTTTATAAAGGGAAAAACTGAGGCTCGGAAAGGTGGAGTAACTTGTTCAAGATCAGAGTAGGATCACAGACCCAGGTCTTTGGTGACATGCCTGGGATATAACAGAAGGTCCCGGTTCTGCTTGCCCTGGGGGGCGTGCAGATATTCTTAATGGCAAAGGGGGCTTCCCTCCCCTTAGAGCACGAACGCCGAGTGCTTGTCTGGGATCTGCAGTGGGCGCCGAAAGACACCGGCTCTTGTGTTCCTCACAATCATGGTCTGGAACAGACGGAGGGCACACAGCAAGGTCGTGCCCGAGCCAGGATCCAAGCACAAACCTAGCTGATCCCAAAGGCCCTGCTGTGGCCCACTGTGCTCTACTCCTTCTCTAGTGGAAAGAGGGCCCCACCGACTCCCCGAATGTGCCTCCTGTTTGCAGCTGGGTCTGCCCGGGAGAGGAGACACATTGCACCCATTACTCATTACTCATGGGCCTGCCAGGCCTCCCAGTGATTAAGCCCTTAGAATTTCCCTCGGCCCTGGGTGACATCATTGCATAATTAAGGTGACTGTGATGCCCAACTGCACGCACCAAACAAAGGTCCCTTGTTTTAATTTATCATCCGAGCTCTCCTTGTGCAAGACTGAGCTCCCACTTGGTAATTGAGGAGGACGGTTTAACCTGACTGAATGAGGGCAGGGCTCGGGGCAAAGCGGCAACGTGGCAGAAGAGGGGATCCTATGTCAGCTCTTAATTTAACATGGTAATGAGGGCACCAATAAAAGAAGATAAATGGTATGCTTACCCTGGAAAGACAAGATGCCAACACGAATCAGGAAGATGCCTTCCTTTTATATAATTTTCTCACCAAGCAGCTGAATAGATTTTTTTGGTCTCCTTTTATTTCTCATCTGACCCTTGGATGGAGCTACTCCTAAGTGCTCACATGTCCTGAGGTTGATCACTGTCTACCCAGAGCGCTGTGCTAATGCACATAGGTTCTGCAGCCCAAAGTACAAAGGTTCAACCCCCCCGTCTTTGCCAATTACTAGTTTTGTGACCTGGGACCAGTTACCTAAACTCTGAGTACCTCAGTTACTGTATCCATAAAAAGGACAAGAATGATACTAGTCCCAACTTCATAAAGCTGTTGTGAGGATTTAAGTGAGATACCATGTGTTGTGTTGAGGACCCTGCTTAGGGCATCAGCACTGTAGGAGTGTTAGTATTACCTCGACCACTTTCTTAACTATCTTTGTACAAAGGCGTAGTGTCTTACATAGACCATGTGTTCAAAAAATGTCCCTTCTCTCTTAGTAAATTTCGGTGTTCTCACCACACACATGCACACACGCAAAGAAAAAGAAAGAAACGGTAATTATGTGATGGGATGGAGATGTTAAGGAATGGCATGGTGGTAATTGATTGGCAATCTATAAATGTATCAAATCAACGGGTTGTACGCTTAAACTTAGACAGTATTAATGTGTCAATTATATCTCCATAAAGCTGGAAAAAAAATACTAAATGGCCTTTCATTATATTTTCTCTCTCCCCCTCTTCTCTCTCTTTGTCCCTCTCTCTCCACAAACAGACTCATCTCTAAGGTCATGCATGAGTTAGAGAAAGTAAAATGTAGCAAAGATCCATTGGCATGTGATTGCTATGAGCTAGAAGGGGGGATGGCAGTGGTTATAATGTTTCTGTGTTCCATCCTTCCTTCCACACCCTCAGTATTTATATTTATCTTTTCCATAACCCTTTTTGAATCCTTTTGAATTTCAGCTATTCATTTGTGAATATTTCCGTTTATTGTGAGTTCTTCTGAAATCCTTTGAAAGCCATCTAATTATTTGCCAAAATTCTAACAATTTTATTTTATTTTTTTTTAAAGATTTTATTTATTATTTGACAGAGAGAATGAGAGAGAGAGAGCACATGAGAGGGGGGAGGGTCAGAGGGAGAAGCAGACTCCCCACCGAGCAGGGAGCCCGATGCGGGACTCGATCCCGGGACTCCGGGATCATGACCCGAGCCGAAGGCAGTCGCTCAACCGACTGAGCCACCCAGGCGCCCAATTCTAACAATTTAAGAAAGCGGACTAATTTCTCCAGTAGTACATTAATGTTTATTTATTTATAAATTTCAATTATGTATATTCTTATAATGTATAGGAATTCATATGAGATGATATAGTTTTAATAACTCTTGGAGAAATCTGCCAAATTACATTTGCCTGATTTTTAATTCTCTTCAGAGAAGCAATTTAATGAACTGTTAAGGAACATAATGGGATTTCTGCTTCTTACCAATGTATTTCCTCCTCAGAAAAGTATATATTTAAAATCCCATGTAAAGTTAATACCCCATTCATCATAAATACAAATCTGAGGAAGGATCTGACCTTGCATAGCAATTAAAAATGTTAAAATTTGGCTACTGGTAAAAAACAACAAATTTTTAAAAAGGCCTTAGGGATGCAGGGAGTCCAAATAGGGAATAAGATGATATTTAAAAAGATAAGCAAAAAACTGCAAAGAAAAAGAAGGATCACCTCACAGGGGAAAGGGGAGGACAGATTCACTCATGAATGCATCCAGAAGTGTATATTCATATTTATTATTTATTATGTTTAAGAATACATTATAAGATTATGGGCAAATTTAGAAAATCCAGCAAATTGGGCATTTGGTGACATGATCTTTAGAAGAATCCACTTCACATCGTCTCCTTATTCTTTTATGAAAGAATTCTCCAGTTGCCTTTCTGTTTATTGAGAGGAGTTAAAATGGAACAGAGTGAATGACCAAATGCTGAGAGAAATGTAAACGGGCCTCCATAGTAAATTGGTAG